GGGAGGAGGGGGCGGAAGAGAAGGAGAAGAGAAAGAACAGTGAAAAAAGTATGCAATAGGTTGTTGTAATGATGATTATTGCTAACTTGGTTGGAATTACATCAAAAAAATATTATTTTAAAAAAAAAGTTTCCGCGTACATCTACATGCCCGTTAAGAGTTATACTTGGGTTCGAGTTAATTTTTACAATAAAGTTTTTTATTTGGTTGATATATGCAAAAATGGTTAAGCACGTCTGTACACATTAAAATTCACGTTGAGAAAACAATAATCAACTGGAATAATATCGCAACAATCGTATTTATGGATTTCAAAGTGGGAGTGTACAATCTCTATTATTCCCCTGATTCATCTTTTTAGATATAATTCAAGGGCACTTGATCTTTATCTTGAATTTGTCTTTGAACTTGATCTTGGATTCAAGGGCTTTGGAGCTTGTTCTTGAATTTGTCTTTGAACTAGATCTTGGATTCAAGAGCTTTAGAGCTTGTTCTTGAATCTTTGATGAACTTGAACTTGAACTTTATCTTGATCTTGACTTATACTTGAATTCACGGGCTTCAAGCTTGATCTTGAATCCTGTAGTCTTGATCTTGAATCTTGTAGTCTTGATCTTGATTTGTAGACTTGACGAACTTTATATGGATTTGAACTTTGATGATCTTGATCTTGAACTTGATCTTGGATTCAAGGGCTTTAAATCTTGTACTTAAATCTTCGATGAACTTGAACTTGAACTTTATCTTGATCTTGACTTATGCTTGAATTCAAGGTCTTCGAGAGCTTGATCTTGAATTTGTTCTTGGATTCAAGGGCTTTAGAGCTTGTTCTTGAATCTTCGATGAACTTGAACTTGAATTTTTTCTTGATCTTGACTTATACTTGAATTCAAGGGCTTTGAGCTTGATCTTGATTCTTGTAGTTTTGATCATGGACTAGATCTTGGATTCAAGGGCTTTGGAGCTTGTTCTTGAATCTTCGATGAACTTGAACTTTATCTTGATCTTGAATTATAATTGAATTTGAGGGCTTCGAGCATGATCTTGATCGTTCTTGAACTTGAATGCTTGAATTCTTAAACTCTAGCTTCTAGAGAAATATGCGGCTTTTGATCCACAAGCTTTCTCTAGCTTTTTGTTAGAATTCTTGGTCCATTTTTCTGAATTATGAGGACCCCTATTTATAGTTTTAGAATAAAGGAGTTGTGATAGGGACAGGATTCCCTTCGGCAAAGCACATTTAAGTGATATGACATATGGGCTTTATGGAGCGGGTTTGTCATTTTTGACGCATGTCATAATCGTATTGCCTTTCTGTTTGACTTGGCATGCCACTTCAGTTGTCACGTGTCACCAAAATGGGCCTGTAGGATGAGATGAAGTTGAGCTTATCAAACTGAACTAATCTTTTATAGCCCAATTTGAACTAAACTTTTAATTTGGACTTTAATTAAATCCATATTTATTAGACTTAAATAATTAACTTAATTATATTAATTTATTATTTATTTGAATTAATATATTCATGAATTAAATATAATTTGATTCATTATATAAATTTATATTTAATAAATTTTAAATGATTACAAATTCCCCTAGCTTCAAGTCTTGTCAAGATATTTTATTTTTTTTAAGTCTAGACTTGAAATATTAACGAATTATTAAGTCGATTTCGAGTCAAACTTTTAAATAGAAAATCATCCGTGCAATTTTACTATTTATTTATATTTAACTGCACTAATTTCTTGGAAGACTCATAAGCAAATTGCATACATACATACGGTCAAAGACTTCAATACGTAGGAAGTTTTTATTTCATGCAATTTTATGGGGGCGTACCGATCACTTTCCCTTATTTGATTCCAAAAGTAATTCCACTTGCTCAATTCTTCGGCCTATAGCATTTTTTGTCTTTTTCTTTTTCTTTTCAATTGGACTAATGCACCATTTTTCTATCCTTCTTGAGTTATGACACTTGATTCATTATCAATAAGGAGTGAACAACTGATATTACTTGCCTATAAATAGGAACATACCCCTCATACTTTTAACACCAATTTGTGAACCCTCGCTTGTAATTTATTTACAGGCGTCAATAAAGAGGTCAGTTTTCCTTCTTCTTTTTTTGTATTTTCTTGTATTATGTATTATTATTTTTGTAGGTAAATGGTAGCAATATTTGTATTTTGCATAGGCTAAACAAGGGAGAGCTTTATCACACAAAATTTAATCTTGAGGTGTAAAGGGATGTGTTTAACGTCCCCGCCTTGAGATCATAAGAAATATTTATATTTTATGGAGCCTACACAATGGAGATCTCTATCACACGAGAATTTGATCTTGAGGTGTGAAGGGATGTGTTTAACGTCACCACCTAGAGATCACTAACTTGAAGCTTTATAAGATTCTGAATACTTAAGCACAAGGTGTGAAAGGATGTGTTTAATGTCCCCGCCTTGAGATCACTAATTATAATATCCTGAATACATAAGAACAAGGTGTGAAAGGATGTGCTTAACGTCCCCGCCTTGTGATCGCTAATTTGAGGCTTTATGAGTATCCAAATACTAAAGTATAAGGTGTGGAAGATCAAATTTTATCCACCTTAACGTATGGAAATGGGACAAATATTTTCCACCTTAAGGCATGAAAATTTAAAGATCCTTTTAAGTATAAATCTGTGAAAAGGCCAATTTAAGGTGCAGAGGGACAAATCTTGTCCACCTTAAGGCATGAGAATTTAAAGATTCATTTAAGGATAAATCCATGAAGAGACCAGCTTAAGGTGCAAAGGGACAAATCTCGCACCTTAAGGCATGAGAATTTAAAGATCTATTCAAGGATAAATCTGTGAAAAGGCCAACTTAAGGTGCAAGGGGAAAAATCCCGTCCACCTTAAGGCATGAGAATTTAAGGATTCATTTAAGGATAAATCCGTGAAAAGGCCAGCTTAAAGTGCAAATGGACAATTTTTGTCCACCTTAAAGCATGAGCATTTAAAGATCCTTTTAAAGATAAATCTGTGAAAAGGTCAGCTTAAGGTGCAAAGGAACAAATCTCATCCACCTTAAGGCATGAAAATTTAACAACTTGCATATTTGGAGGATTTGAAGACTTTAACTTGCAGACTTGACAAATTTGAAAAATTCAACTTGTATACTTGGAGGATTTGAAGACTTCAACTTGGATACTTGGAGGATTGAAGACTTCAACTTGCATACTTGAAGAATTGGAAGACTTCAACTTTCATACTTGGAGGATTTGAAGACTTCTACTTGCATACTTGAAGAATTTAAAGACTTCAACTTGCATACTTGGAGGATTTGAAGACGTCATCTTGCATACTTGGAGGATTTGAAGACTTAAACTTGCATATTTGGAGGATTTGAAGATTTCAACTTGCAAGCTTGAAGAATTTAAAGACTTCAACTTGCATAATTGGCTGAATTTAAAGACTTCAAGAATATTGTTAAAGAATCTCATGTTTTATAAGGGTTTACCCCCTCCATTGATCCATCAATACTTCATGCATGTCTAAAGTTTGATGAAATAAAATAAAATATTTATAGCCTTAATTTTCATGTGACGGATCAACTGGGAACATGTGGTTTTTTGACACTCATGCAATCGAACGTGGAATATGGTTCTAAGCGCCTACGTGCCTCATTGAAGAGGATCAAGTCAAAACGTTGTTCTAGGAGAGTGCTTTTTTTTATTGTGGTGTCGTATACAGTTTATACTCTTGCGAGCTAGGAGTGATGTGTAGTTTAGGCTCGGACCTTAAGAAGCATTTTTACTTGAACATTTACTTAAATTTGAAGATTTTTATGATATACAATTTAGGCTTATGTTTCAAGGAGCATTTCAACTTGAAGATTTGACTCAAACTTGAAGAGCTTTATGACATATAGTTTAAGCTCGTGTTTCGAGGAGCATTTAAATTTAAAGATTTAGCTCAAATTTGAAGAGTTTTGTGACATACAGTTTAAACTCATATTTGAAGGAGAATTTCAACTTGAAGATTTAGCTCAAATTGAAAGAGCTTTGTGACATACAGTTTAAACTCGTATTTCAAGGAGCATTTCAACTTGAAGATTTAGCTCAAATTGAAAGAGCATTGTGATATACAGTTTAAACTCGTGTTTCAAGTAGCATTTCAACTTGAAGATTTAATCAAATTTAAAGAGCTTTATGACTACAATTTAGGCTCGTGTTTCAAGGAGCATTTCAATTTGAAGATTTAACTCAAATTTGAAGAGTTTTCCAGCTTAAAGATTTAGCTAAAATTTGAAGACCTTTAAAACTTAGAGATTTAGCTCAAACTTGAAAAGATTTGTGATGTGCATTTTAGGCTCATGCATCTAGGAGTATTATAACTTGCAGTTTAAGCTCAAATGATGAGGAGGATTGTAACTTACAGTTTAATCTCATGTGTTAAGGAGCATAGCAACTTGCAGTTTAAGCTCACGCGTTAAGGGGCGTCTAGATATACATTGACTCTCAAAGTCATCTTCAGATGTAGACTTACCCCCAATTTGGAGTTATTCTATATCTTCATCTTTATGAGGTCAATAGAAAGAAGATCTTTGATCTTGTCTTAAAGTCATGCATAACTCCATGTCATGCGCACGAGTTGCCAACTCTTTGAATGTATTGGGATTTAATCCTTGCAAGATGTAGTGAAGACCCCAATTCATGACTTGGATACACATTTCAATGCTAGAAGTTTCATTAAGGCGGTCTTTGCAATTGAGGCTCAAACTTCTCTAGCGATTGATGAAGTCAACAACTAGCGCATATTTACCTTGACGTGCCTTTGTAAGGTCAACCATACTAACGACACGTCTCGTGCTATAAAATGATTGAGGAACTCTTGCTCTAACTGCTCCCAACAATCTATAGAATTCGATTCAAGATATGTTTACCAATCAAAGACATTTTCTTTGAGAGATCGAACGAACTCTTTAATGAGATAATCACAATACGTATTAGCATCATTGCAAGTCTCGATAAAATGAGTTATAGATTGTTTGGGATTTCGTTCCATCTCTAACTCTTTTTGTGGATCATAACACTTCCTTAAGTCAGCATACATCATATTGATCTCTCTACTGCTCCCGCAAACTGTGATGTCTCGATTCCCATTGGTCGGTCTGCTATCCGGAACAAACCTTTGTCTAAGTAATCTTGAATTAGATTCCTGAAATTTTGCCATCAAATAGTTGAAGCTTAGAAGGCTGATAGACCTGAAGGATTTTTAAGTTATTAATCCTTTGTGTATATGGATTTACATATGTGGGAGTAAGTTTGGACGAAGAATCATATTTGTCTTCGATAGCCTCTATGATAAAGTTCTTCAATTGATCAATGGGAATCAAACCTTCAGCGGAGAGATGAATCTCTTTGATCTTTGTTTGCTTTATGCAAGACTCTCCTTCTTCTTGAATTTTAGGAAGATTTAGAGGTTCTTGACTCGATCTCTCAATCATGTTATTCATCTGATTTGTTAACTTGGAAAGTTTAGCATCTTGTTCGTGTGCGCGCTTTGTCAAGCCTTCAATTGTTTTTGTCAAGCTTGCTAGTTGTTCTTCTATAGTGGAAGGCATTTGATACTTGAAAAGTTGAGATAAGAGGTAGAGATTGTCCCATTGGGCGTGTCATAATTTGTAGACAATAAAATTTGCATCGAGAAAATAATAATCAACAACAAAAAATTATCTTAACAATCATAATTTATTGATTTCAAACTGCGAGTGTACAATCTCTATTATTCCTCTGATTCGTATTTTCTGATATAATTCAAGGGCTCTTGATCTTGAATTTGTCTTTGAACTTGATCTTGGATTCAAGGGCTTTGGGGCTTGTTCTTAAATTATTCTTTGAACTTGATCTTCGATTCAAAGGCTTCAGAGTTTATTCTTGAATCTTTGATGAACTTGAACTTGAACTTTATCTTGACCTTGACTTATCTTTAATTCAAGGGCTTCGAGCTTGATCTTGATTTGTGGACTTGATGAACTTGATCTTGGATTCAAGGGCTTTAAAGCTTGTTCTTGAATCTTCAATGAACTTGAACTTTATATTGATCTTGACTTATAATTGAATTCAAGGGCTTAGAACTTGATCTTGGATTCAAGGGCTTTAGAACTTGTTCTTGAATCTTCGATGAACTTGAACTTTATCTTGATCTTGACTTATACTTGAATTCAAGGGCTTCGAGCTTGATCTTGGATTTAAGGGCTTTAGAGCTTGTTCTTGAATCTTCGATGAACTTGAACTTTATCTTGATCTTGACTTATACTCGAATTCCAGGGATTCGAGCTTGATATTGACTCTTGTAGTCTTGAATTTGAACTTGATCTTGGATTCAAGGGCTTTGAAGCTTGTTCTTGAATCTTCGATGAACTTGAACTTGAATTTTATCTTGATCTTGACTTATACTTGAATTCAAGGGCGTTGAGCTTGTGGTCTTGATCTTGATCGTTCTTGAACATGAATGCTTGAATTTTTGAACTTTTAGCTCGCAGAGAAATTTGTGGCTTTTGATCCACGAGCTTTCTCTAGTTTCTTGTTAGAATTCTTGGTCCCTTTTCTGAATTATGAGGATCCTTATTTATAGTTTTAAAATTGAGAAGTTGTGATAGGAACAAGATTCCCTTCGACCAATCAGATTTAAGTGACATAACATATGGGCTTTATGGAACGGGCTTATCATTTTTGACACATGTCATGATCCTATTGACTTCTTGCTTGACTTGTCTTGCCACGTCAGTTGTCACGTGGCACCAAAATGGGCCTCTAGGATGAGATGAAGTTGGGCTTAGCAAACCGAGCTCATCATTTATAGTTCAAATCAATTAATTTGGACTTTAATTAAATCCATATATATTTTACTTAAATAATTAACCCAATTATATTAATTCATAATATTTATTTTAATTAATATATTCATGATAAATATAATCCGAATCATTTTATAAATTTATATTTAATAAATTTTAAATGATTACAACATAAATTAATTTTTTCTATTATTAAAATTATAGATATTAATAATCTTGATAATTAATAAGTAATACTTATATGAAAGTTTGTCTTAACAATTTTTTAATCGAAGAGAGTTTGTGGTATTTTATTTGCATTTTCTTATATAGTTTTTTCGTACGTACTTTATTTGGTTGATTTTAAACATTTTTTTGTCTTGAACTATATACTTTTTCTTTTACTTTGATATTAGAAACTTTGCTTCAAAATTAGATTTATAAAAATAAATGTGTGACTGTTGACAGTCCTTCACAATATAAATTAATTCTCGAGCTTTTTCAATTTCAAACAATTTGAAATAATTAGTATTTTATAAAATTCAAAAATACTTTAAAGTTATTTTTAAGTGATTATGATATTTTATAATTTTTGTATATATTTCTATATGTTTATAATATTTAATTATATAATTACTACCTTTTATAAATATTCGAAAATCGACTCAAAGACTTTTGTTTTTAACTAGATATTTTATTAATTATTTTAGTTATATTTTTTTGAGTTAATTAATTTATAATTAAGTGAATTATATTATTTTTAATTTTTAGTTGAGTTGACCAATTAAATCAATTTGTCTATTTCTTAAACATAAAGACCAAATTCTGAACACCCAATCCACCCATACATCCTCCAATTTTAAGCTCTATTTCCCTTAAGCCATGGATACATACAACAATACATACCTACGCGTCGTCTCCCTCATAGAATCGAACGACCCAACAACCCTAATGGTCTAATTCCGTTTCCCTCACGCCACCGCGATTCACAGAGATTCAACCAGAGTTTGGGGAAGTTCCATTGAATCCCAAGTGTAACCCTCGCTAATTTTGGATTCCCTCCTCCCACATTTCCTCTCAAATCCATGAGAAATTGGTACCTTTCTAGTTGACTCAAACCTTAACGTTTACATTCGAATTTCAAATTTTAGATTCCAAAATCTTATCCCATATTTCCCCTCAATTCAATCCCTAATCCTCTTCTATAAAACCCCTCTTCAGTCCTTGTTCCTACAATTCCATCTCCTCACAACCTCCGAACTCACAGTTTTATTTTTGTCTTGGTTTGTTTTCATTTTTGCACAAGCTTTTCATCGGAACTCTTGTGTGGTGGAGGAATTATTGTTAAGCTGGTCGTCCTGGTCTGGCTGCTCTAGAAAAGGTAAATCTTTTCTTTATTCTGTTTCGACTTAAATATTTTGGGTGTTCTAATATGGAATCAAGTTCATATATTAAGTTTATGTTTGATTCTGTCTTGTAGAAAACTTCTGTTTAAACATTATTCCAATCTTCTTTGTAATTGTTGGGTCATTTTCTTTAGTCTGTGATTTTTATCATGTTTATAAGTTCATATGAATTAAACGCATCAGACTTTTTAATGTAGTATATTGTCTTCTGTATAAATGGTAAATTCAATTCTAAGCCGCGATGTAGCTTGTAATTTCTTTTATCTACGCCTTAGCATGAATTTTGTCTAAAATCATTTTTATGGCCCCTTTTAATACATAGTTTAACATGAATACTCATAGTTTAGCATGTGTACTGATTTCTTGTAGTTCAAAATTTGATCTCGGCATTTAGTAGCGGCTCAAGCTAATTAGTGACCAAAAAACTCAAATTAAATCGAAGGCCTAAGTTTTAATTATTTTTTTATTTTTTGAGATGCAAAGTTATTTATTTCTTTTTAATAAAAAAACTTTATTTGTCTATGGTCTTAAACTAGATTTTTATATATATATATATATATACCAAAATATTTTTTTATATTATGGTCTTAAACATATCATGTGGAAGTTAATTTAAAAATTGATAAAAAAAAACATTCTTAATGTTTCGAAACAAACTAAAAAATACAAATAAATTAAAAGACATTGTATTTGACACGCCTCGAGCCTACACAATGGGCGGGACTGGCACTCGAAAACCATTGTTGGCCCCAAGCGAACCCTTGGTCTAGCCTACTACTCAGGGGAAGACTTTACTCAACATTTAAAACAACTCAACAGGTAGATTCATAACTCAAACTTAGAACGCATAAAGAAAAACATTCGGCTGGCCATAAAGGCAACTCAAGTCTTATAATAAAAACAACTGAAATGAATAAGACTAATGAACTAATAACGTCTAACTGTCTATGAAGCCTCTAATAACTATGAGGGGTGTTGGGATAAGAACCCCGATCATCCTAGCAACTGACTAACAAAGCAATAAAAGGGAATCCTCTGGAAAGCAAGGAGGCTCACCAACTGACTTTGAGATGCTCAACTGGATCAATGAGGTGCTGGATGTTGATCCTGAATACATGTATCTGCATCATAAAACGATGCAGGCCAAATGGCATCAGTACATTGGATGTACGAGCATGCGAGGGGAAAACTAAACATGACATAAGCTTGAAATGAATTCTGAAAGAAACACTTACCTCAGCTTTACTTAACTCATGGATACTCAACTTAATGCAAAAATAAACAACAATAAGATGTAGTTTATATAAAGCATTTAAACAGTAAGTAGCAATTCAATGTATTGGAGAAATACAATAACATCTCAATTTATATATATAATAAAGTAATATAATTTTGTGGGAGTTTCTCTAACCGACAACCATCACTACGAGCTATGTGATGATACAACATCTCGCCCACGCTGCCAAAACTATCATATAACTTGTCGGGATATAGAACGCCTCAACTAAGTGGATTCACTAGTCTATGCTAAAAAGCATTAAGGAATCATCTAAAAAGTATGATCATTTTTACCCACGTTGGCTACATTGTTTATAGAGACTTGAGTTATTATGAACTCGTCCCCATATCGGTGCTCAATACTACTCCCAAAATACTCAGCTCATATGTTTGAAAACATAACTCTTTCTCTGTGGTTTGAGATTATTATTCAAAAACTTATCTCTTAAAAGAGATGTAATTCAAAACTACTCATGAAAACTCATTTTAAAATCGGTGTTTCTTCTCATCTTAAATGTGAAAATATTTACTCTTTGGAAATACATAGTCCCCATATAACATTTTAAAGAAATGCACTCGGCTCTACTTTTCCTCAATCTCAATGCTTAAGTCTTAAAACAAGTTTAAAAGATTTGTAAAAGACTTCTTAAAATGACTCGAGAAACCCTCAAGACTTGACTTTCAACTCTACCTTGAATTTGATGTATGAATTCAAGGTTGTGATTTGTGATAGGAAAGATCTCATGATGTTTAAGAGTGTTTTTAGATAGTTAAACATGAGAAACGATCAAGAAATCATAGTCTGGAAGCAAGTCCGCAATGCGGAGATGCATTTTATTATTTGGTCGCGAAATAAATTTTGAGGCAGAAGGGTCCGCGATCTATCCGCGACGCGGAGAGAAAAAGTTCTGATCCTGAGGAACAGGTCCGCGACCCAAATTTTCCTAACTTTTTCCTTCTTCGTTTTCTAACCCCAATTCACCTAAATTCGATTCTTCTTCTCAATTCCTCTTTAGTTTCATATACCAGTATATGTACACAAGAATCTATTCATAAATGACTCTAAAATCTACACGATTTCCTCAAGAACTCAACAACCCCAACTTAACTCAAGAACGAAAGCCAATATTCAAGAACACAATTCAAAATCATCAACGTTCAACTTTCTAGAACGAATTTCGCTGAAATAAACATGATTGGTGCGTGGGTGAACGAACCCGAGGCTATGTAAAGTCTCACATACCTCTTTAGGGATCAACCCTTGGCGAAACGACTTCGATTCCGCAAGAAATCTCCAAGAACGCCTTGACTTTTCTCCTTTTTTCTCCTATTTTCTCTTCTCTCAAAGCCCTAGCGTAATTCTTAATTGCGTAAACTGAATGAACTCAGTTTAGACCCCAAATAAATTCCTAAAAACGGAATAAATTAATTGGATAATGAAAATACCAAAATACCCCTCTAAAATTTGGTTGACTTTCCTTATCCAGACAGTCCGACTTCAAACGGGCATATCTCCCTCATACGAACTCGAAAATTAGCAAACTCGGTGGTGTTGGAAAGATAATTCAAAGGCCTTTCATTTGATATCTTGTAGCCCACCTAACTCATCATGTACCAGGATTTATGGTCGTTTGAATTTGATGCATAACTCATACTTAACATACTTGCCAAATTTCAGATTTTTATTCTTTCCAAAAATGGTTCTTTCTAATTCTAGCTCTTTCGAATAGCGGGGTGTTACAATATTATTTTTATTTGGTTAAAAAACAGCTTATAATAATTTTATTATTATTAAAAAATTAGGCCCTTCAAATTTAGGAACCTAAGACGGATGCCTTATTTTTAAAGGCATTGAGCCGCCCTATAGCATTAAATTTTAACATTCATATGCACTTGGAATTTGTTCACACTATTGTTTGTATGTATGAAGATACTCACTTTAAGTGTGCATTATGTTAGTTACTTATTTATTTGAATAATCATTTTCATGTCCATTTGATTTGTTCCTCATACTTGGGTTGTTAATAATGCATGACCTTTTACATTTTTGGAATAAATATGCCTTTGTCTTTTGTTTGGGAGCCAACTCGAAGTTTGAAATATCCAATCCAATATGTGCATCAAGTTATATTTTCATGTAACTTTATTTCTAAAAGCGTTCAAAGGAGTATATTAATTATTTTCCCTTACTTTCTTTACATGTGATATTGGCGGAGTCCATTTTCATCGCCTCCTTGCATTTTCAAGTTGTCGAGTCAACCACGATTTCATTCAGATGGAAAATTCAGATGGAAAAGGAAGTGTATATACTGGTCTCAGAGGTGATCTATGAGTCAGAATACATAAAATATGCAGGATATACACTTGATATACATTAGATACGTATATGATACACAACAGAAATTAGCTGAAGGCCCATAGTGCAGCCGCAGTTCTTCAGAGAGTTGAATTTTGGTTGGAGCCCAAGTCATTTTCAGCAACCAGACTTTGACCAAGTCCATTAATTTTAAGCTATTTGTATTTATTTGTTTATTTATTTTATATTTTTGGTAATAATTTATTTGTTTGTTTTTATTTTTGAATGTATTAGCTCTAACCTTAAAATTTTAAATTAACTTAATTAAATCCCTTAGAGATAAATCACTTTTTGTTATGATAATTTACTATTTTAAATAATTTTATTTGATAGTCTTTCTTTACTAAGCCATTTTTTCAATTAAGTTTACTTTCTTTCTAAAATATTTGAAATGTTCAAATTAATTCTCTTTTAAATTGCTTTAAATGCCTTTTTTAAAAATTATTTTCCCCAAAAAACTTAAGTAATTAAAATTTAAAATTGTTGGATAATTGTATGTTAGTGGTCCTTTGAGTGTTAATATCTTCTCAAAGTGGAAATTGAAATCTCTTACTTTTTTCTCTAAATTTTTAACACTTAAATTTGATATTTTTTGAATTAATAAATTTAATTTTCTTTAAACAATTATGTGATGACTTTTTAAATATGATTTCCCCCCTAAAAAGTTGAAATTTTTAAACATCTCTTTTCGACACATAACACTGACGGCGCGAAGCACGATTTTTTTTATAACTAATATAAAAATAAATACTACAATACAGAAATTTGGGAGTTATTTGATATTTTTTTATGTGTTCTTGGTATTCTTGAGAAACAAGAAGCAAAAACAGTATATTTGATCCAAAACTCCAAGTGAAAAGTGTTAAAAGTTATTTGGGTTGTAAAAATTGATTTTGCAAAATCAGAGTAGAAAAAAATGGCTAGAATAAGCCTTTTCATAAACGGCAATGATAAATGAACCAAAATTTTAACAAATAATGTAAAAGAGGCTTTTCTAAAAAGTTAAATGTAATATTTGAGCTTTTTCCGTAAATAAAATAATAAATATATTTTATGGTATAGTGTTTTTGCTAAAGTCCAAATAAAATCACATGGAGACAAAATGGATGAAGCCAAAAGGAGGTGAATGGTGATAGAGATAAGATAAAGGTGATGAAGCTTTTCATTTGTATGTAACTTCTAAAGAGAGAAATTTAAAGTTCATTTGTCTAAGTTTTTTCTTAATTTGTTGTTATGGCAGATAGTAAAGAAGCAGCACAAGTTATGTCAATTACCATATACCCACTCAAATCATGCCGTGGTATTTCAGTTCCTGAAGCAGCCCTTTCTTCTACTGGTATGAATTACTTCAATTTCCATTCACTTTTTATGTGACTCTCCTGGTGTTGCAGTAATCAAAGCTTTACCTTAATAAAAACCCCATTTTGAATCTTGATCTTTTGCAACACACAGTGTATTACCGTTTCTTGATTAATACTCTCCCTGTCCGTCCACTTTAAAATTAACACACCTATTAAAAAAATAGTTAATGACATAGTAACTTTACCGTTTTACCCCTATTAATTATGAAGTGGGTGAATTAAAAACTTAAAATTTTCA